CGTGGCTGGCTGAAACAATCGCCATTTACTTTCTGATAGATGATATCGAATGGAAATTGGCAACAGTGGGTTTGATTCTGATATGATTCGGCCACCAAGTTGCCATTCATACGTAAATAACAACAGAAGAGGCCCATGCCTTTTCGTACGGCCCCATTGCAGCAAAATTCAGTGTTCGAGTGATATTCCACTTCACTTCCATTGTTACGTATACAGCATGAATCCGCTTGATTTCTGTCGAAAACCTAAATTTTTTCCATTTTTGCAATAAATCCATGGGCAAACATATTTGAATATGGAGTTACCCTGTCTCCACAGCAGATTTGCTGACGCCCTCCATCGAATACGGTCGATCCGCAGCACATATCTGTTGAAGCGAGTTTCCTGCAACGATTTGGTATACGGTAGGCGGGCGATGCTATAGTTCTACAGAAGAAGAACTCACCTTGCTAAATTGTTCTCACAACAAAGAAATGATCCTTCTTGTCTGAAGTACACTGCATTACCGCAGCAGTCACCATTCATAACATTGTGCACCTAAATCGTTTACCATAAAATTTGGTATTAAGGGGAAGGTGGAGAAGATATAGATAACTTTAAGATTAATTACTGCAAGATTTACATCCGTACAAGACCTGCCTCTCCGTACATGGCGGATAAGTGGAATGGAAAGCTCTTGCTATCTTTACCGAAGCGAATGTTTCATTTCGTATGGGATGATAGTCCTACGGTAATGTGAGATGGAATTGCTGGGATTAATTTTTTTGTGAGCTTTGGCGAAATTGCCGTTCTCCTTTATCAAATGAGAGATAAATGTCAGGCTTGACGCATTACGCTCTGATTTCATTATCTCATTTTATCGTGTTTGAAACTCAACAAATGTTCTATTTTTTGTTAATTCAACTACTATTGCCTACGAATCATGAACTGCTCTCTACACTGCAAATCTTTCCAATCATAGAAAAAAATTCGCTCACTGTTCCATTACAGCAGGTTTGATCTGGTCTCATCGCTTCCGTTCCACAACACATATCAGCATGTCTTCCACCACGGTTTTTCTCTCTAAAAAAGGATTTACAATAGGTTGCTCGGAATAACAAACACCGCTTTCCTTTTTCAAGCCCTAATCTATAAGGCCTAAGGCATAAATCACGCGATTTCAGTCGCCACGCGATCTGGCAATTTGCCA